CTTGCTCTCCACTTAGCCCCTTTAATTTTTTAAGTTATGCTGATCTCCTGTAAATTGATCTTGTACAGCTGGACCTGTTATGCACAGTATTGTCTTAATCCCAGGTACAGGGCTAGGAGGACAAAGGAGGCCTTTTGTTAAAAGGAATGCCCAGTTTGAAGGGGTGTAAATGGAGTGCTTACCTCTTCAGTCCACAGGAGCCATATTATAGTAAGTCCTTGAGCCACAGAAGTGCCTCCCCGGAGACGTGCACGGACCTATGTGGTGGCTGCCACTGGCACTGTGCCCCAGACTTGTCTAAAGAATGGGAACAGTGGTGCTAAACACTAAATGTCAAAACCAGTGTTCTCCTGGATAATATTGGGGATCCCCAGGACCTTAAGCAGGTAGTTTGTCTCAAGACCTAATGCCAGATTTGTGTTATTCCCTACGAAGTAGTGAGTTGTGGATTTTTGAGAATATATATATATATTTAATAGGAGAATTACTTGCTTTAAAAAAAATGTCAGGGACACAATAATTAGAGAAATGTGAGTGTACTATCTCGCTTTAGGTAAGTCGTTGCTATAAAATATTGCATATAAAATTCTCAGGAAACTTCCAGAGAAATTGAAAACATATCTTTGTATTGTTCAAAGTGATCGTCTGCAATGGCCATCACAGGAAGGAAATGGCCATCATTTTCTAGATGTGCTGTGCGCTGTCTCTTCCTTTGGAAAAATAAATAAAACCCTCCTGTGATGCTTCGTTTTCTCACTGGCTGCTGCCCTGCTCCCTCCTTCCCTCTCTCCTCTCCACCAGCCACTGACATCCCAGCTCCAGCCCTTGCTTGGAATTCTGCCCCTTTCATTCCTCTGAAGTCGGTCCTTGGAGTCACCAGTCCCCTCCAGACGCTTCTAGGTCCTCCTCTCACGTGACCTCACCATGATGCTTGAGACACTGTCTTCTCTTGAATTCTCCTTCTTCTGTTACCCTCCCCTCCGTTTCCTGTTCACCCCTCTGTCCTGCCTCAAAACCATTGCGTCTTCCCATGCTCAGACCCCACTTTATTGCCTCCCCTTGTTATGCCCTGACCTGTGTATCTCCCCTCCCCCTACATTCACATTTTGTCCTAACCCCAGGACCTCAGAAAATAGATTTTATTTGGAAATCAGGTTTTTTCAGTGGTAAGTAGTGAAAGTGAGGCCACATGCAGACTGTAGTAGGCTGGATCCCTAATCCAGTACGAGTGGCGTCCTTATAAAAAGGGGAGATTAGGACCCAGACACACACGTGTGAACCTGAAGGCAGAGATCAGGTGCTACTTCTACAAGCCAAGGAACCCCGAAGATGGCCAGCAGGTCAGCAGCAGCTCAGAGGGAGGCCTGGAATAGATTCCCCTCACAGTCCCCGGAAAGAACCAACCCTGCCCACACCTTGATCTCAGACTTTCAGCCTCCAGAATCATTAGACTATAAATTCTGTTGTTTAAACTACCCAGTTAGTGGTATTTGTTAAGGCAGCCCTAGCAAGCTAATACACTCTGCTCTCCCCGGCCAGTGCTGTGCCAATATTTTGGTCTAGGGACCCCTTTATACTCTTAAAAATTATTGAGACACCCCACTCCCAAAGAACTTTGGTTTATGTGGAGTCTACCTACCAGTATTTACCACACTAGAAATTAAAAGTCAGGAAATTTAAAAATATTTATATATTAGCTCATTTAAAATATTACTAAGCCATTACATATTGATATAAATACATATTTTTATGAAAATAACTTTATTTCCTAAAACAAACAACAATTTAGTAAGAAGAGTGACATTATCTTATTCTGCAGATCTCTTTAATGCCTGACTTGGATTTCCTGCTG